GTTCCCACGTGCTGCATGGTCCGGTGGATTCGCCTTATTGCGGGCTTCAGTTTAGTATGTTTAAAAGAGAATTTCATTTTTTTTCCGTATTATACGCGCATGCGCTTATACAGACACCTCAATTAGAAGCGCACCCCCCCAAAAAACACCGTTTTATTATAAGCGCACCTGCGCTTCTATCCGGGGTAATACGGTATATGCTGGCGCGGAGTGCAGACCTCCACCAGTGAACAACTTTTGCTGGAAACTCTATAATGCACTTGTTGGACTTAGAGTGAAATCATGCAGACAATACAATGCAGGCTGCAACAGTGCAGACTGTTAGTGTTGGATTAAAACAGCCTAACAGTTAAAAATGTCTGCCATACAGGTATATTACAGTCAAGAGGATGAGCAACAAAACTATTACCGTATCAATACTATGTACCGTGCACAACTACCGAATACATCCATTCCTCAACTGAAAACCCCTGGAGGGATGATAACCTTGTCAATCCCATGGCACGCAAACCTAAGGAAGGTGTTCATTCCACCGATGTCTCCTGAAATGACGTTTGCTGTATTCAAAGTGGCATACCTGACGGAACTCACTTTCACGAGCTTGTTCACGGTGTTTGGTAGCACGAAGATGTAAACCCCAAGGACTGTACGGAATGCGCGTAAGAACCTTTGATTCCTTGGGAGAGAAAGAAAATTGAACCCCCACTTTTCCATGATCATATGGTACTGTAGGAGCTGCACCAGCTTCTTGCCGGATAGCTGCTGGCGGATGTTGGCTGGAAGTGCGGAGAACGCTTCGTCGCGAGGCATCAGAAAGGTGAGTGGCTGCCGGTCCGCGTATCTGCCAATGAACGTATCCAAATCTGGGAGGAGGGAGAGCAGGGCGTGGGTGGTGGTAGTGGAGTGTTGGGGGGAAGGAGAGTGTGTTTGGGGAGAGATGATGAAAGGAGAGCGAGTGGAAGGGAGAGGGGGCGAATAGCGACGGAAAAACATGATGGAGAAACAGAGGAGGGAAGAGGGGGAAGCGGGAGAGGGAAGATGGATGGACGTAAGAGGGAAATAAGCAAGGGATGCTTACTTGTTTTCTTCATATGAATCAGAAAAACGTTAAATTTCCGAGCTTTCTGAATGGCCTTGTTCGCGCCGTTCAGCTCTCTTCTTCCCGGCGCGATCTTAGGGGGCTTCGCAGCCGTGGCATCGCAAGCTAAACAAATAACCAGGAGGACAATGCTGACTACGGACTTTGGACCTGCTCCTAAGGTCGATCTCATCCCGTGTCTGGAACCTGGTATCTAAGTGTCCTGTTCTTGTATGCAGTTTGCAGTCTCCGCGTTCGTGAAAAATGAAAAGCTAACTAGTGAACAACCGAGCACCCGAAGCGCTGTAATTCCTGATCAAATTTAGTAGCATTTTTTTTTTTTGTCGGAATAGAAATGTATGCCTTACGACTTCCTCAAACCCTATTATCCTAATACGTCCTAGCACTGGGCTGGCTTTCAAATTTGGTACTTCACACTGAACCACCTTCACCTCACCTGGTTCTCCCTTCAAGCCCTCTTATGAAATCCCCCACCACACCATCACCACCTACCATCACCCACCACCGAACCTCTGAAACCATCATCACCGAGCACCACCACCGCAACCCGTTCCCTACCCTCTCCCTCCAACCGCAACCACCCTTCCCTTCCCCCTCCCTCCAACATGGTCCATGATATGCCCTGCACTGCACACCCTCCTCCACACCGACACATTTTCTGTTTGATGCTCACAGCTAGCGTTTCCCCTCGCCACAAAACGACGTCGCTACTTGTTAGTTGGTGGTGTTGTCGGGAAACTGTACAGTTCAATCCGTCGGCTGGTGAAACCGATGGTGGGCTAGCCGATAAATTTCCGCTCAGAGCCTTGAAAAGTATGGTACTAAAAGGGCGTGGGCCCAAACGGGTTTGATCGCCTCGATCAGCCGCGATCAATGATTTCTAGGAACCCTGGAAGCCATTTTCTGGCAATCAGGGGCAATCAGCTGATCGCTATCAGCTGATCGCTCAAACTCAATCAGACCCGATTTTCACCCCGATCAGAGTCGATTTTCCTCGATCACATACGATCAATTGATCGCTACTGATCGGGGCCACAGCAACGCTTGCGAAATGTTACTCTGTATTACTAGGTCTCGTCAACCCCTCACGAAACGGTGGAAGATTCCGCAAAGAACAACACGTGCGGAGTGGGATTGGCGATATTACAGGGATACAAATATTTTCGCAAGGTTTGGTCAGCTCGCAATTCTCGCTAAAATTGGGCAGAAAATGCCTGGTAATTGGACACCGCTAGCTGAGCAGCCAACGCGAATGTACTACAAAAAATTCTGCTGATCGGGCATCTCGGGCAATGTGATCACAAGCAACCCGATCAGATCCGCCCCGATCAGATCAGTCGCGATCAGCAACGATCAATAATTTCCAGGAAGCCTGGAAGCCAAATTCAGGCAATCAGGGGCAATCAGCTGATCGCGATCAGCTGATCGCCCAACCTCGATCAGACCCGATTTTCACCCCGATCAGAGTCGATTTTCCTCGATCACAGGCAATCAATTGATTGCTTGTGATCGGGGCACCTAGCGACGCTTGCGAGTAGTTACACTGTTGCAATTACAGTGAAACGAATATTTTCGCCAGGTGAAGCCTGGTCGTCAATCTCGCTAAAATGGTGACGAAAATGCCACGCAAATGCATCGCGCTTGCTGAGCAGGCGCTGACAACCTTCTCATTCCTGATCGGGCGGCTCGGGCACTACGATCACAAGCAACCCGATCAGATCAGTCGCGATCAAACCCGTTTGGGCCCACGCCCTAACTGCGGGTCTCCCAACCTGCTCTTTGTGATGGTCAAGAGCTTGGAAAATATTTGGCACATCTCCAGTGGCAGTACTTTTTGGTGCAGGTAAGGTAAGGTTTTAGGGGAAACCCCCTTTGGTATCACCCCGGCTGTCGGTCGTAACCCGCCTACCCATTTGTTTACACGCCTCGCTGGGTATCGAGGTTGTTATATCCGCTCCCAGATGAGCACATGTGTAATCCCTTTTTAGTGGGGACTGGCTAATACGCCGCAGGGGGAATTTGATCCCGAGACCTCTAATTTCGGAAGTGAACCAGCTAACAGCTGGGCCACTTCAGGATACTTGCACAATGTTCCCAGCAGTGATGACGTAAAGTAAATGTAAACTGTGAGCACCCAAACAAGTCAGACGGTCTGGGATGCAGGGCTAGTTACTTAGGACGCGTCACCTGAAGCGGATCGATCGTCTGGAAGATCGGTTTTGCGCGCAGGGTATAGCACTGTAGCGTCGTAATCAACTAGGTAACCATTTTTTGCCAACGTTGAGGAATGTACAATAAAAGTGTACCCTCGATCCTGTCACCTGTACGTGCCCCCGTCGATTTGGCACATTGGCAAATCGATCTTGAGATTGAAGGGCGCTGTGTGGGGCCTCGAGCCACGGGTGACAGGCACGATCGATTGCCTTCGGTCTTAGTCGTATAGTCACTGCGCGACATCGCTTACAAAGGGTTACCTTTTTCGTGACATGCGACATCAATTTGTGGGTCGCGGGCGAACCCAAAGTTGTAGTCGCAGGTTGGGTGTACAAAAACCTCAATCCTGCTCCCCCGAACCTGTCACCTGAATATCGGTGTGGCACCTGCGATTGTAGTTTTGTTGTCCTCGGCCCCAATCACTGTCAAACCTGGGCTCGAAATGACGATTGGTGCGGATCGGCCGACCTTCGGCCGATCCGCTTCAGGTGACGCGTCCTTACATAAACACAGAGCCGCCTCCCCCTGCAACAAGATGTGAACCGAAACACCGACAGCAAAAGCTCGGCTAGAAAGAGTGCGGCCGTAACGACATGCCCACACATGGTCAGGTCAGGTCAGGTCACCCCCCAACCCAATCCCAACTCCTATGACCAGCTACAGTTCATGCGGCCTCTTTTTGAAGAGCAGCATTCCGGTGTTCTGTACAGTTGAAGTTTCAGAAGTTTCTTGTTTCGGGGGAGAGAGAGCAAGTTTGTCGGATAGCTTCCCCTGCCTCGTTGGTCTGTCGGTAGGTGTGGTCCGCGAACAAGGGTGCGCTTGGTCTGTGGGGAATTACACCTTTATTTCCAGTAGATTGGGCTCCCATATAATCGTAGGACGTGTATAATTTCAATAGTGTTGACTGCAATTACATTTCTCAACCATGATGCTGCATGCATTGCCCTCGGACTTCTTCATCTATGATAATTCAGATCTTAATCATGAAGACATATTTTTACCTTCAAATAATTGAGTCGGAGCTGCTTTATTAGTTGTTCCACCACAAAACTTATTAGTTAGCCTTCATGCTGCGGAACCACGCTAGAACGTTCTAAAAACCAATAGCACCTAACTGTAACGCCTGATCACGTCCACGAGCTTCAAGGCACGCAATGTCCAACCAAATACCCGAGGCATATTCGGTACACTTCCATATGAATCAAATCCCTCAGTTGTGTTTCTCATCACAGCACATTTCCTGAAACAAGCAGACAGAGGAGAACACTACTGAAGGATCTCCGTATGAGGGAATCCGGAATTCGAATGTCCCGAGGATGCCAAACGCGCCTCAGTTTGGGACGACCTTCAGAGGCAGGCGTCAAGATCAATGGGCACTGACAATCGCTTTTCGTGAATGCCCCTCCTTCCCAAACAAAAACCGCGAATCCCAAGACGAGAGGACCCCAACAACGAAAATCCCTAGGCAACGCGCTTTTGGAGGGAAGAGCGGAAGGAAAGGAGCACTAGTGTTGAATGCTGAGCAGAATCAAGGCTCGGAGAAACCCAGAACTGACAGGGATGCCAATCAGAGAAACCTAGAATGCCTGTTGAAGCTTAGGATTCTCGAGAAAGCCAGAATGCTCGTGGAGCTTAAAAGTTTATTCAGGTAGGTCGTTGCGCCGAAATAGTTAGAGCTGGCGAGACAATGGCGAAGGACGATGTGGCTATGGAAGTGGAACTCGGGCAGCTTCGAATAAAAAATTCTGACCTTCGTTGCAAGGTCGACCGCCTGCACACCGAGTTACGAGCCGCGAAAGACCTCGCAGCGGCAGTCACCGCGGAGCTCGATACGTGGAAGAAGCAGAGCATTTCCCGCGCGGAGGCGGAAAACCTGCGCGCGGAGGCGGAAAAATGGAAAGCGCGTGCGGAAGCTTCCGCGCGGGGTTCCCCGGGGCTCCGGGGAAGTGGCGGAGCGGGAAAAAAACTGGAAGAGAAAATTACGGCTTTAGAAGTGGAATTAGGGAAGTACAAGTTCAAAAACATGGACCTTCAGAATAAAGTCGAAAAACTCTCTAAGGAGATTACGAAACGACCGTCTGCTGTCGACGCGGGAAAGTTGTCACCAGGCTCGGCTGCGGGAAACGCGCAGGCGACGGCGGGAAACGCGCAGGAAACGGCGGGTTTGACGGGGAAGGCGCTTTTTCTGAGTCGCCTCAGGAGCGGAGCGCTGTCATCTTCCCGAGGCTCTGCCGTAACAGGCGCTCCAAGCGGGAAAGGCGCTTTTAACGGGACAGGCGCTTTTAGCGGGAAAGGCGTTCCTAGCGGGAAAGCTGCTTTTAGCTTGACAGGCACTCATAGCTGGACAGGAGCTGATAGCGGGACAGGTGCTAATAATGGGACAGGCGCTCATAGCGCGTCCATCGGCGGAAGGGGGATTGGCGGCGGGTCTGGCTGGCGCGCGCAGGGTAAGGCGGAGACAGATGGAACTTTTTCGCGGGAGGGGGAGGAGAGGCGGAAGGAGAGGGAGGAGGAGAGTCGGAAGGAGGAGGGAGAGGAGAAGCAGCGGGTAGAGGAGGAGAATGTACGGCTGAGATCTTCCCTCGAGGTCCCTGAGAAGCGGGTGGAGGTGGGGCGAGGCGACAGCGGAATGTGGAATGAAGAGGGCAATGCTCTTAAAGACGTTTCTTGGGAGTCGCCAAAGGCAGAGGCCTGTAAGAAAGAAGCGAAGGAAGCTTCTAAAGAAGATATAGTGAAAGAAATGAAAGAAGAATGCAAGGGAGATTGCACGGAAGAATTGAATTCTGAGACGATTTCAGGCGTTTCTCAGGACAGCGCAAAAGGGGTGGAGGAGCAGAAAGTCAGTTATGAGGAGAACAAAGGGGCATCTCTTATGGGGGATGAGCTGTTGATTGTCGTTGAGTCTGCTAATGGTGTACAGTCTGTTGGTGGCGAGTCTTCTAACGGGGGTGAGTTCTCTAACGGGGTTGAGTCTACTAACGGGGCTGCTAACGAGGTTGAGACCACTAACAGGGTTGAGTCTTCTAACGGGGATGGGCCTGTTAACGGGGTGAGTTTAGGGATGGAGTGTACAGAAGAACTAGCAGCAGCGAAGCACGATAGTCCGGGAAAAGGGGAGCAGCAGAACGGGGAGCGTATTGAAGAGCAGGTTATCGCTCTAAAGGCTCGTGAGGAAAGGTCGGAAGCAGGAGGGGCAATAGCAGGAGAGGAAGTGGAAGGAGGTGAGGTGAGCGAGTGTGGGGAAGGAGATGGCGACTCAGGGAAAGGGAGGGGAGAAGAAAAGGGGGAAGATAAGGGGGGGAACAAGAGGGGAGACAAGGTGGGAGATAAGGGGGAGCAAGGGAAAGAGGAGGTGGACGGGACACGAGCTTGTAATGAATCAAAAGCTTGTAGCGAGTCAACAGTATGTATCGAGATATCAACTTGTAAAGAGGATGGGGTGCAGACACGGATAGAAGAAGGTGCGCTTAATGGAAAGCAGCAAGAGGACCAACTAGAACGTATGGCGTCATCACAAACTGGAGCAGCTAGTAACGAGGATAAGTTGCTGCTGGGACAGCTGTCAAGTTCCTCTCTTGGGTCTGAATCTCCTAGCCCATCCTCCTTCGTTTCGAAGCCTCTCTTTAAGAAACTGCCTCCCGCTATAGCGAGTACAGAAGGGCGGGCCCAGCGATTGAACGCACACACTGTAGAGGAAAGCGAGCCTTCTCCTAGGGGGACTCCGAGGCAGCTTGTAAAGGGTACGGGTGCGGCAGAGGAAGGGGGGGTCAGGGGGGAGGAGGCTCGAGGGCTCATCCGGGGTGGGTGGTTGGAGCTAGGGAGAAGGCGAGAGGAGGCGGAGAGAGGATTGAGAGAAGCCTTGAGGGCGAGAGAAGAGGCAGAGAGAGGGAAGCAGGGAGCAGAGAGGAAACGGAAGGAAGCAGAAGAGAGGATGGTGAGAGCTTTACTGGAAAGGGATGAAGCGGAGAGGAGGAGAGAGGAGGCTGAAGGGAGGTTGGGGGAAATGGAAGGGTTGTGGAGGGAGAGTGAGAGGGGGAGGGAGATGGAGGGGAGGAGGAGGGAGGAGGTGGAAAGGGAGTTGGAGGAGGAGAGGAGGAGGAGGGAGGAGGCGGAGAAGGGGAGGGAGGAGGCAGAGAGGAGGAGGGAGGAGGGTGAGGGGGAGAGAGAGGAGGCTGTGAGGAGGGCGAGGGATGTGGAGAGGGAAGGGGAGAGAATGAGGGAGGAGGTGGAGAGAGAGAGGAGGGAAATCGAAGGGAGGTTGGTAGGAGCAAGTAAAGCGCTGAGGGAAGCTGAGGCGAAGAGAGACGAAGCTGTAAAGGCAATGGAAGAGGCTTATAACGGGGAAAAGGCTGCCCTGGGTTTGAGAGACCAGGCAATATATGAGAGGGAGGAAATGGCGAGGACAAGGGACGAGGCTGAAAGGAGGAGGGGGGAGGAGGAAGCAAGGAGGAAAATTGCAGAGGAGGAGTGTGAGGAGGCGAGGAGGAGGAGAGAGGTTGCTGAGAGGGAGAGAGAGGAGGCGGTAGAAGCAGCAGAGGGAGCAGAGAGAGGGAGGAGGGAAGCGGAGAGGGTGAGAGAGGCTGCTGTGAGAGAGAAGGTTGAAGCTGAGAGGGCAATGGAAGGGGCTTTAAGGGAGAGGGATATGGCGTTGTTGAAGGAGGAGGAAGCTGCCAAGAAGATTCTCGATGCCGAAAGGATGAGGGTTGAGGCAAGACGCGTGTGGGAAGATTCGGATAAGATCCGGGCAGAAGCGGAAAATGCGCAGGCTGAGGCCGAGAAGCTTCGGGCAGCTGCGGAAAAGTTTAAGGCGGAGTCGGAGCTGGTTCGGGCAGCTGCGGAGATGGCTAAGGTGGAAGCTGAGGCGATGAAACGTGAGGTGGAAGTTTTGCGGGCAGAAACGGCGGCGGCTTTGGCTGCCCGGGAAGAGGAACGGGCGAAGAAGGTTGGTCTGGAGGGGAAGATGGAATCTTTAATGCTGACCGTGGAAGCACAAAAATGGGCAGGGGGGGGTAGGTTGAGTGAAGGGGAGGAAGGAGAAAGAATGAGGGAAGCAAGGAAGAGAATGGAGGAAGCAGAGGAGGTGGCACATGATTTAAGAATGTGGGGTAGGCAATTGCAAGCAGAGTTGCTTAAAGGGGAGGAGGAGAGGAGGGGGCTTGAAGAAAAGTGTAGGAAGGTGGAAGGGAGGGTGAGGGATGTGCAGAGAGTGAGGGAGGAGGCGGATAGGGGGAGGGAGAGGGCGGAGAGAGAAAGGGAGGAGATGGTTGGGAGGATGAAGGAGGTGCAAGTAGAAGTGTTGAGGCTTAGAAGGGAGGTGAAACGGCTGATGGGAGAGGAGGTAGGAGAGGAGAAAGAGGAGGAGGAGGGAAAGGACGGTGATAATGAATCGAGACTTGAGACTGCTTTGGCTGCAGATTCTCCTGTATCAAAGGGAACCTCAAAGGGGATAGTAGGTGAGGGGCGCACTGCAGGGGAGGAAATAGCAGAGGGAGGATGTGAAAGGGTTAGAGACACTCGTCGGAAGCAACCTATGGGGCTCAGCTCGTCTGAAGGGAGCAGCCTTGAGCTGAAGAGGCGGATGCAGAAGCAGCAGACGGAGCAGAAGGAGCAGGAGCGGGAGCGGGAGCAGGGGACACACAAGGAGATGAGTGAGGGGGAGGAGGACGAGCAGGTGAAGGAGGTTCTGACAGTGTATGAAGGGCACAGGGAACAGGGAGAAGCAGAGAATCGAGAAGCTGGGGTTGAGGGGCAGCGGTTGCAGTTAATTGGGGTGATGGCGGCAGGAGGACGGGAGGAGGAGGAGAGGCTAGGAGAGGAGGCGGAGAGGGTTATACAGGAACTGGAGAATGCTCTTAGCGAGTCGGAGAGGAGGAGAGTGAGTGCTGAGCATGAGAGGGATGTTGCGGCAAGGGAGAGAGATGTAGCGGAAAGGGGGAGGGATGCAGCAGAGAGGCGGCTGGTTGAGAGGGAGAGGGAGAGGGAAAAGAGAGAGGGAGGGAGATAGGGAGTGGGTAAAAGCCGAGAACGGAAGAGAGGAGGCTGACAGAGCAAGGAGTGAGGCTGAGCAGAAGAGAGAGGAGGCTGAGGCAGCGAAATGCGAGGCGGAGAAAGAGAGGGAGGAAGCGGAGAAGGCAAGGAGTGAGGCTGAGCAGAAGAGAGAGGAGGCTGAGGCAGCGAAATGCGAGGCGGAGAAAGAGAGGGAGGAAGCGGAGAAGGCAAGGAGTGAGGCTGAGCAGAAGAGAGAGGAGGCTGAGGCAGCGAAATGCGAGGCGGAGAAAGAGAGGGAGGAAGCGGAGAAGGCAAGGAGTGAGGCTGAGCAGAAGAGAGAGGAGGCTGAGGCAGCGAAATGCGAGGCGGAGAAAGAGAGGGAGGAAGCGGAGAAGGCAAGGAGTGAGGCTGAGCAGAAGAGAGAGGAGGCTGAGGCAGCGAAATGCGAGGCGGAGAAAGAGAGGGAGGAAGCGGAGAAGGCAAGGAGTGAGGCTGAGCAGAAGAGGGAGGAAGCGGAGAAGGCAAGGAGTGAGGCTGAGCAGAAGAGAGAGGAGGCTGAGGCAGCGAAATGCGAGGCGGAGAAAGAGAGGGAGGAAGCGGAGAAGGCAAGGAGTGAGGCTGAGCAGAAGAGAGAGGAGGCTGAGGCAGCGAAATGCGAGGCGGAGAAAGAGAGGGAGGAAGCGGAGAAGGCAAGGAGTGAGGCTGAGCAGAAGAGAGAGGAGGCTGAGGCAGCGAAATGCGAGGCGGAGAAAGAGAGGGAGGAAGCGGAGAAGGCAAGGAGTGAGGCTGAGCAGAAGAGAGAGGAGGCTGAGGCAGCGAAATGCGAGGCGGAGAAAGAGAGGGAGGAAGCGGAGAAGGCAAGGAGTGAGGCTGAGCAGAAGAGAGAGGAGGCTGAGGCAGCGAAATGCGAGGCGGAGAAAGAGAGGGAGGAAGCGGAGAAGGCAAGGAGTGAGGCTGAGCAGAAGAGAGAGGAGGCTGAGGCAGCGAAATGCGAGGCGGAGAAAGAGAGGGAGGAAGCGGAGAAGGCAAGGAGTGAGGCTGAGCAGAAGAGAGAGGAGGCTGAGGCAGCGAAATGCGAGGCGGAGAAAGAGAGGGAGGAAGCGGAGAAGGCAAGGAGTGAGGCTGAGCAGAAGAGAGAGGAGGCTGAGGCAGCGAAATGCGAGGCGGAGAAAGAGAGGGAGGAAGCGGAGAAGGCAAGGAGTGAGGCTGAGCAGAAGAGAGAGGAGGCTGAGGCAGCGAAATGCGAGGCGGAGAAAGAGAGGGAGGAAGCGGAGAAGGCAAGGAGTGAGGCTGAGCAGAAGAGAGAGGAGGCTGAGGCAGCGAAATGCGAGGCGGAGAAAGAGAGGGAGAAAGTGGAGGAGGCAAGGAGTGAGGCTGAGCAGAAGAGAGAGGAGGCTGAGGCAGCGAAATGCGAGGCGGAGAAAGAGAGGGAGGAAGCGGAGAAGGCAAGGAGTGAGGCTGAGCAGAAGAGAGAGGAGGCTGAGGCAGCGAAATGCGAGGCGGAGAAAGAGAGGGAGGAAGCGGAGAAGGCAAGGAGTGAGGCTGAGCAGAAGAGAGAGGAGGCTGAGGCAGCGAAATGCGAGGCGGAGAAAGAGAGGGAGGAAGCGGAGAAGGCAAGGAGTGAGGCTGAGCAGAAGAGAGAGGAGGCTGAGGCAGCGAAATGCGAGGCGGAGAAAGAGAGGGAGGAAGCGGAGAAGGCAAGGAGTGAGGCTGAGCAGAAGAGGGAGGAAGCGGAGAAGGCAAGGAGTGAGGCTGAGCAGAAGAGAGAGGAGGCTGAGGCAGCGAAATGCGAGGCGGAGAAAGAGAGGGAGGAAGCGGAGAAGGCAAGGAGTGAGGCTGAGCAGAAGAGAGAGGAGGCTGAGGCAGCGAAATGCGAGGCGGAGAAAGAGAGGGAGGAAGCGGAGAAGGCAAGGAGTGAGGCTGAGCAGAAGAGAGAGGAGGCTGAGGCAGCAAAATGCGTGGTGCAGAAAGAGAGGGAGGAAGCGGAGAAGGCAAGGAGTGAGGCTGAGCAGAAGAGAGAGGAGGCTGAGGCAGCGAAATGCGAGGCGGAGAAAGAGAGGGAGGAAGCGGAGAAGGCAAGGAGTGAGGCTGAGCAGAAGAGAGAGGAGGCTGAGGCAGCGAAATGCGAGGCGGAGAAAGAGAGGGAGGAAGCGGAGAAGGCAAGGAGTGAGGCTGAGCAGAAGAGAGAGGAGGCTGAGGCAGCGAAATGCGAGGCGGAGAAAGAGAGGGAGGAAGCGGAGAAGGCAAGGAGTGAGGCTGAGCAAAAGAGGGAGGAAGCGGAGAAGGCAAGGAGTGAGGCTGAGCAGAAGAGAGAGGAGGCTGAGGCAGCGAAATGCGAGGCGGAGAAAGAGAGGGAGGAAGCGGAGAAGGCAAGGAGTGAGGCTGAGCAGAAGAGAGAGGAGGCTGAGGCAGCGAAATGCGAGGCGGAGAAAGAGAGGGAGGAAGCGGAGAAGGCAAGGAGTGAGGCTGAGCAGAAGAGAGAGGAGGCTGAGGCAGCGAAATGTGAGTTGGAGAGAGAGAGGGAGGAAGCGGAGAAGGCAAGGAGTGAGGCTGAGCAGAAGAGAGAGGAGGCTGAGGCAGCGAAATGCGAGGCGGAGAAAGAGAGGGAGGAAGCGGAGAAGGCAAGGAGTGAGGCTGAGCAGAAGAGAGAGGAGGCTGAGGCAGCGAAATGCGAGGCGGAGAAAGAGAGGGAGGAAGCGGAGAAGGCAAGGAGTGAGGCTGAGCAGAAGAGAGAGGAGGCTGAGGCAGCGAAATGCGAGGCGGAGAAAGAGAGGGAGGAAGCGGAGAAGGCAAGGAGTGAGGCTGAGCAGAAGAGAGAGGAGGCTGAGGCAGCGAAATGCGAGGCGGAGAAAGAGAGGGAGGAAGCGGAGAAGGCAAGGAGTGAGGCTGAGCAGAAGAGAGAGGAGGCTGAGGCAGCGAAATGCGAGGCGGAGAAAGAGAGGGAGGAAGCGGAGAAGGCAAGGAGTGAGGCTGAGCAGAAGAGAGAGGAGGCTGAGGCAGCGAAATGCGAGGCGGAGAAAGAGAGGGAGGAAGCGGAGAAGGCAAGGAGTGAGGCTGAACAGAAGAGGGAGGAGGCTGAGGCAGCAAAATGCGTGGTGCAGAAAGAGAGGGAGGAAGCGGAGAAGGCAAGGAGTGAGGCTGAGCAGAAGAGAGAGGAGGCTGAGGCAGCGAAATGCGAGGCGGAGAAAGAGAGGGAGGAAGCGGAGAAGGCAAGGAGTGAGGCTGAACAGAAGAGGGAGGAGGCTGAGGCAGCCAAATGCGAGGCGGAGAAAGATAGGAAGGAAGCGGAGAAGGCAAGGAGTGAGGCTGAGCAGAAGAGAGAGGAGGCTGAGGCAGCGAAATGCGAGGCGGAGAAAGAGAGGGAGGAAGCGGAGAAGGCAAGGAGTGAGGCTGAGCAAAAGAGGGAGGAAGCGGAGAAGGCAAGGAGTGAGGCTGAGCAGAAGAGAGAGGAGGCTGAGGCAGCGAAATGCGAGGCGGAGAAAGAGAGGGAGGAAGCGGAGAAGGCAAGGAGTGAGGCTGAGCAGAAGAGAGAGGAGGCTGAGGCAGCGAAATGCGAGGCGGAGAAAGAGAGGGAGGAAGCGGAGAAGGCAAGGAGTGAGGCTGAGCAGAAGAGAGAGGAGGCTGAGGCAGCGAAATGCGAGGCGGAGAAAGAGAGGGAGGAAGCGGAGAAGGCAAGGAGTGAGGCTGAGCAGAAGAGAGAGGAGGCTGAGGCAGCGAAATGCGAGGCGGAGAAAGAGAGGGAGGAAGCGGAGAAGGCAAGGAGTGAGGCTGAGCAGAAGAGAGAGGAGGCTGAGGCAGCGAAATGCGAGGCGGAGAAAGAGAGGGAGGAAGCGGAGAAGGCAAGGAGTGAGGCTGAGCAGAAGAGAGAGGAGGCTGAGGCAGCGAAATGCGAGGCGGAGAAAGAGAGGGAGGAAGCGGAGAAGGCAAGGAGTGAGGCTGAGCAGAAGAGAGAGGAGGCTGAGGCAGCGAAATGCGAGGCGGAGAAAGAGAGGGAGGAAGCGGAGAAGGCAAGGAGTGAGGCTGAGCAGAAGAGAGAGGAGGCTGAGGCAGCGAAATGCGAGGCGGAGAAAGAGAGGGAGGAAGCGGAGAAGGCAAGGAGTGAGGCTGAGCAGAAGAGAGAGGAGGCTGAGGCAGCGAAATGCGAGGCGGAGAAAGAGAGGGAGGAAGCGGAGAAGGCAAGGAGTGAGGCTGAGCAGAAGAGAGAGGAGGCTGAGGCAGCGAAATGCGAGGCGGAGAAAGAGAGGGAGGAAGCGGAGAAGGCAAGGAGTGAGGCTGAGCAGAAGAGAGAGGAGGCTGAGGCAGCGAAATGCGAGGCGGAGAAAGAGAGGGAGGAAGCGGAGAAGGCAAGGAGTGAGGCTGAGCAGAAGAGAGAGGAGGCTGAGGCAGCGAAATGCGAGGCGGAGAAAGAGAGGGAGGAAGCGGAGAAGGCAAGGAGTGAGGCTGAGCAGAAGAGAGAGGAGGCTGAGGCAGCGAAATGCGAGGCGGAGAAAGAGAGGAAGGAAGTGGAGAAGGCAAGGAGTGAGGCTGAGCAGAAGAGAGAGGAGGCTGAGGCAGCGAAATGCGAGGCGGAGAAAGAGAGGGAGGAAGCGGAGAAGGCAAGGAGTGAGGCTGAGCAGAAGAGAGAGGAGGCTGAGGCAGCGAAATGCGAGGCGGAGAAAGAGAGGGAGGAAGCGGAGAAGGCTAGGAGTGAGGCTGAACAGCAGAGGGAGGAGGCTGAGGCAGCGAAATGCGAGGCGGAGAAAGAGAGGGAGGAAGCGGAGAAAGAGAGGGAGGAAGCGGAGAAGGCAAGGAGTGAGGCTGAACAGAGAAGGGAGGAGGCTGAGGCAGCGAAATGCGAGGTGGAAAAAGAGAGGGAGGAAGCGGAGAAGGCAAGGAGTGAGGCTGAGCAGAAGAGAGAGGAGGCTGAGGCAGCGAAATGCGAGGCGGAGAAAGAGAGGGAGGAAGCGGAGAAGGCAAGGAGTGAGGCTGAGCACAAGAGAGAAGAGGCCGAGGCAGCGAAATGCGAGGCGGAGAAAGAGAGGGAGGAAGCGGAGAAGGCAAGGAGTGAGGCTGAGCAGAAGAGGGAGGAGGCTGAAGCAGCAAAATGCGAGGCGGAGAAAGAGAGGGAGGAAGCGGAGAAGGCAAGGAGTGAGGCTGAGCAGAAGAGAGAGGAGGCTGAGGCAGCGAAATGCGAGGCGGAGAAAGAGAGGGAGGAAGCGGAGAAGGCAAGGAGTGAGGCTGAGCAGAAGAGAGAGGAGGCTGAGGCAGCGAAATGCGAGGCAGAGAAAAGAGGGAGGAAGCGGAGAAGGCAAGGAGTGAGGCTGAGCAGAAGAGAGAGGAGGCTGAGGCAGCGAAATGCGAGGCGGAGAAAGAGAGGGAGGAAGCGGAGAAGGCAAGGAGTGAGGCTGAGCAGAAGAGAGAGGAGGCTGAGGCAGCGAAATGCGAGGCGGAGAAAGAGAGGGAGGAAGCGGAGAAGGCAAGGAGTGAGGCTGAGCAGAAGAGAGAGGAGGCTGAGGCAGCGAAATGCGAGGCGGAGAAAGAGAGGGAGGGAGCGGAGAAGGCAAGGATTGAGGCTGAACAGAGGAGGGAGGAGGCTGAGGCAGCGAAATGCGAGGCGGAGAAAGAGAGGGAGGAAGCGGAGAAGGCAAGGAGTGAGGCTGAGCAGAAGAGGGAGGAAGCGGAGAAGGCAAGGAGTGAGGCTGAGCAGAAGAGAGAGGAGGCTGAGGCAGCGAAATGCGAGGCGGAGAAAGAGAGGGAGAAAGTGGAGGAGGCAAGGAGTGAGGCTGAGCAGAAGAGAGAGGAGGCTGAGGCAGCGAAATGCGAGGCGGAGAAAGAGAGGGAGGAAGCGGAGAAGGCAAGGAGTGAGGCTGAGCAGAAGAGAGAGGAGGCTGAGGCAGCGAAATGCGAGGCGGAGAAAGAGAGGGAGGAAGCGGAGAAGGCAAGGAGTGAGGCTGAGCAGAAGAGAGAGGAGGCTGAGGCAGCGAAATGCGAGGCGGAGAAAGAGAGGGAGGGAGCGGAGAAGGCAAGGATTGAGGCTGAACAGAGGAGGGAGGAGGCTGAGGCAGCGAAATGCGAGGCGGAGAAAGAGAGGGAGGAAGCGGAGAAGGCAAGGAGTGAGGCTGAGCAGAAGAGGGAGGAAGCGGAGAAGGCAAGGAGTGAGGCTGAGCAGAAGAGAGAGGAGGCTGAGGCAGCGAAATGCGAGGCGGAGAAAGAGAGGGAGAAGTGGAGGAGGCAAGGAGTGAGGCTGAGCAGAAGAGAGAGGAGGCTGAGGCAGCGAAATGCGAGGCGGAGAAAGAGAGGGAGGAAGCGGAGAAGGCAAGGAGTGAGGCTGAGCAGAAGAGAGAGGAGGCTGAGGCAGCGAAATGCGAGGCGGAGAAAGAGAGGGAGGAAGCGGAGAAGGCAAGGAGTGAGGCTGAGCAGAAGAGAGAGGAGGCTGAGGCAGCGAAATGCGAGGCGGAGAAAGAGAGGGAGGAAGCGGAGAAGGCAAGGAGTGAGGCTGAGCAGAAGAGAGAGGAGGCTGAGGCAGCGAAATGCGAGGCGGAGAAAGAGAGGGAGGAAGCGGAGAAGGCAAGGAGTGAGGCTGAGCAGAAGAGGGAGGAAGCGGAGAAGGCAAGGAGTGAGGCTGAGCAGAAGAGAGAGGAGGCTGAGGCAGCGAAATGCGAGGCGGAGAAAGAGAGGGAGGAAGCGGAGAAGGCAAGGAGTGAGGCTGAGCAGAAGAGAGAGGAGGCTGAGGCAGCGAAATGCGAGGCGGAGAAAGAGAGGGAGGAAGCGGAGAAGGCAAGGAGTGAGGCTGAGCAGAAGAGAGAGGAGGCTGAGGCAGCAAAATGCGTGGTGCAGAATGAGAGGAAGGAAGCGGAGAAGGCAAGGAGTGAGGCTGAGCAGAAGAGAGAGGAGGCTGAGGCAGCGAAATGCGAGGCGGAGAAAGAGAGGGAGGAAGCGGAGAAGGCAAGGAGTGAGGCTGAGCAGAAGAGAGAGGAGGCTGAGGCAGCGAAAAAACGAGGCGGAGAAAGAGAGGGAGGAAGCGGAGAAGGCAAGGAGTGAGGCTGAGCAGAAGAGAGAGGAGGCTGAGGCAGCGAAATGCGAGGCGGAGAAAGAGAGGGAGGAAGCGGAGAAGGCAAGGAGTGAGGCTGAGCAGAAGAGAGAGGAGGCTGAGGCAGCGAAATGCGAGGCGGAGAAAGAGAGGGAGGAAGCGGAGAAGGCAAGGAGTGAGGCTGAGCAGAAGAGAGAGGAGGCTGAGGCAGCGAAATGCGAGGCGGAGAAAGAGAGGGAGGAAGCGGAGAAGGCAAGGAGTGAGGCTGAGCAGAAGAGAGAGGAGGCTGAGGCAGCAAAAATGCGTGGTGCAGAAAGAGAGGGAGGAAGCGGAGAAGGCAAGGAGTGAGGCTGAGCAGAAGAGAGAGGAGGCTGAGGCAGCGAAATGCGAGGCGGAGAAAGAGAGGGAGGAAGCGGAGAAGGCAAGGAGTGAGGCTGAGCAGAAGAGAGAGGCTGAGGCAGCGAAAAACGAGGCGGAGAAAGAGAGGGAGGAAGCGGAGAAGGCAAGGAGTGAGGCTGAGCAGAAGAGAGAGGAGGCTGAGGCAGCGAAATGCGAGGCGGAGAAAGAGAGGGAGGAAGCGGAGAAGGCAAGGAGTGAGGCTGAGCAGAAGAGAGAGGAGGCTGAGGCAGCGAAATGCGAGGCGGAGAAAGAGAGGGAGGAAGCGGAGAAGGCAAGGAGTGAGGCTGAGCAGAAGAGAGAGGAGGCTGAGGCAGCGAAATGCGAGGCGGAGAAAGAGAGGGAGGAAGCGGAGAAGGCAAGGAGTGAGGCTGAGCAGAAGAGAGAGGAGGCTGAGGCAGCGAAATGCGAGGCGGAGAAAGAGAGGGAGGAAGCGGAGAAGGCAAGGAGTGAGGCTGAGCAGAAGAGAGAGGAGGCTGAGGCAGCGAAATGCGAGGCGGAGAAAGAGAGGGAGGAAGCGGAGAAGGCAAGGAGTGAGGCTGAGCAGAAGAGAGAGGAGGCTGAGGCAGCGAAATGCGAGGCGGAGAAAGAGAGGGAGGAAGCGGAGAAGGCAAGGAGTGAGGCTGAGCAGAAGAGAGAGGAGGCTGAGGCAGCGAAATGCGAGGCGGAGAAAGAGAGGGAGGAAGCGGAGAAGGCAAGGAGTGAGGCTGAGCAGAAGAGAGAGGAGGCTGAGGCAGCGAAATGCGAGGCGGAGAAAGAGAGGGAGGAAGCGGAGAAGGCAAGGAGTGAGGCTGAGCAGAAGAGAGAGGAGGCTGAGGCAGCGAAATGCGAGGCGGAGAAAGAGAGGGAGGAAGCGGAGAAGGCAAGGAGTGAGGCTGAGCAGAAGAGAGAGGAGGCTGAGGCAGCGAAATGCGAGGCGGAGAAAGAGAGGGAGGAAGCGGAGAAGGCAAGGAGTGAGGCTGAGCAGAAGAGAGAGGAGGCTGAGGCAGCGAAATGCGAGGCGGAGAAAGAGAGGGAGGAAGCGGAGAAGGCAAGGAGTGAGGCTGAGCAGAAGAGAGAGGAGGCTGAGGCAGCGAAATGCGAGGCGGAGAAAGAGAGGGAGGAAGCGGAGAAGGCAAGGAGTGAGGCTGAGCAGAAGAGAGAGGAGGCTGAGGCAGCGAAATGCGAGGCGGAGAAAGAGAGGGAGGAAGCGGAGAAGGCAAGGAGTGAGGCTGAGCAGAAGAGGGAGGAGTCTGAGGCAGCGAAATGCGAGGCGGAGAAAGAGAGGGAGGAAGCGGAGAAGGCAAGGAGTGAGGCTGAGCAGAAGAGAGAGGAGGCTGAGGCAGCGAAATGCGAGGCGGAGAAAGAGAGGGAGGAAGCGGAGAAGGCAAGGAGTGAGGCTGAGCAGAAGAGAGAGGAGGCTGAGGCAGCGAAATGCGAGGCGGAGAAAGAGAGGGAGGAAGCGGAGAAGGCAAGGAGTGAGGCTGAGCAGAAGAGAGAGGAGGCTGAGGCAGCGAAATGCGAGGCGGAGAAAGAGAGGGAGGAAGCGGAGAAGGCAAGGAGTGAGGCTGAGCAGAAGAGAGAGGAGGCTGAGGCAGCGAAATGCGAGGCGGAGAAAGAGAGGGAGGAAGCGGAGAAGGCAAGGAGTGAGGCTGAGCAGAAGAGAGAGGAGGCTGAGGCAGCGAAATGCGAGGCGGAGAAAAGAGAGGGAGGAAGCGGCGAATGCAAGGAGTGAGGCTGAGCAGAAGAGAGAGGAGGCTGAGGCAGCGAAATGCGAGGCGGAGAAAGAGAGGGAGGAAGCGGAGAAGGCAAGGAGTGAGGCTGAGCAGAAGAGAGAGGAGGCTGAGGCAGCGAAATGCGAGGCGGAGAAAGAGAGGGAGGAAGCGGAGAAGGCAAGGAGTGAGGCTGAGCAGAAGAGAGAGGAGGCTGAGGCAGCGAAATGCGAGGCGGAGAAAGAGAGGGAGGAAGCGGAGAAGGCAAGGAGTGAGGCTGAGCAGAAGAGAGAGGAGGCTGAGGCAGCGAAATGCGAGGCGGAGAAAGAGAGGGAGGAAGCGGAGAAGGCAAGGAGTGAGGCTGAGCAGAAGAGAGAGGAGGCTGAGGCAGCGAAATGCGAGGCGGAGAAAGAGAGGGAGGAAGCGGAGAAGGCAAGGAGTGAGGCTGAGCAGAAGAGAGAGGAGGCTGAGGCAGCGAAATGCGAGGCGGAGAAAGAGAGGGAGGAAGCGGAGAAGGCAAGGAGTGAGGCTGAACAGAAGAGGGAGGAGGCTGAGGCAGCAAATGCGTGGTGCTCGGAGAAAGAGAGGGAGGAAGCGGAGAAGGCAAGGAGTGAGGCTGAGCAGAAGAGAGAGGAGGCTGAGGCAGCGAAATGCGAGGCGGAGAAAGAGAGGGAGGAAGCGGAGAAGGCAAGGTGGAGGCTGAACAGAAGAGGGAGGACTGAGGCAGCGAAATGCGAGGCGGAGAAAGAGAGGGAGGAAGCGGAGAAGGCAAGGAGTGAGGCTGAGCAGAAGAGGAGGAGGCTGAGGCAGTGAAATGCGAGGCTAGAAAGAGAGGGAGAAAGCGGAGAAGACAAGGAGTGAGGCTGAGCAAAAGAGGGAGGAAGCGGAGAAGGCAAGGAGTGAGGCTGAGCAGAAGAGAGAGGAGGCTGAGGCAGCGAAATGCGAGGCGGAGAAAGAGAGGGAGGAAGCGGAGAAGGCAAGGAGTGAGGCTGAGCAGAAGAGAGAGGAGGCTGAGGCAGCGAAATGCGAGGCGGAGAAAGAGGGGAGAAAGCGGAGAAGGCAAAGGGAGGCTGAGCAGAAGAGAGAGGAGGCTGAGGCAGCGAAATGCGAGGCGGAGAAAGAGAGGGAGGAAGCGGAGAAGGCAAGGAGTGAGGCTGAGCAGAAGAGAGAGGAGGCTGAGGCAGCGAAATGCGAGGCGGAGAAAGAGAGGGAGGAAGCGGAGAAGGCAAGGAGTGAGGCTGAGCAGAAGAGAGAGGAGGCTGAGGCAGCGAAATGCGAGGCGGAGAAAGAGAGGGAGGAAGCGGAGAAGGCAAGGAGTGAGGCTGAGCAGAAGAGAGAGGAGGCTGAGGCAGCGAAATGCGAGGCGGAGAAAGAGAGGGAGGAAGCGGAGAAGGCAAGGAGTGAGGCTGAGCAGAAGAGAGAGGAGTCTGAGGCAGCAAAATGCGAAGCGGAGAAAGAGAGGGAGGAAGCGGAGAAGGCAAGGAGTGAGGCTGAGCAGAAGAGAGAGGAGGCTGAGGCAGCGAAATGCGAGTTGGGAGAAAGAGAGGGAGGGAAGCGGAGAAGAGGAGTGAGGCTGAGCAGAGAGGGAGGAGGCTGAGGCAGCGAAATGCGAGGCGGAGAAAGAGAGGGAGGAAGCGGAGAAGGCAAGGAGTGAGGCTGAGCAGAAGAGAGAGGAGGCTGAGGCAGCGAAATGCGAGGCGGAGAAAGAGAGGGAGGAAGCGGAGAAGGCAAGGAGTGAGGCTGAGCAGAAGAGAGAGGAGGCTGAGGCAGCGAAATGCGAGGCGGAGAAAGAGAGGGAGGAAGCGGAGAAGGCAAGGAGTGAGGCTGAGCAGAAGAGAGAGGAGGCTGAGGCAGCAAGAATGCGAGGCGGAGAAAGAGAGGGAGGAAGCGGAGAAGGCAAGGAGTGAGGCTGAGCAGAAGAGAGAGGAGGCTGAGGCAGCGAAATGCGAGGCGGAGAAAGAGAGGGAGGAAGGGGAGAAGGCAAGGAGTGTGGGCTGAGCAGAAGAGAGAGGAGGCTGAGGCAGCGAGATGCGAGCGGAGAAAGAGAGGGAGGAAGCGGAGAAGGCAAGGAGTGAGGCTGAGCAGAAGAGAGAGGAGGCTGAGGCAGCGAAATGCGAGGCGGAGAAAGAGAGGGAGGAAGGGAGAAGGCAAGGAGTGAGGCCGAGCAGAAGAGAGAGGAGGATGAGGCAGCAAGATGCGAGGCGAGAAGAGAAGGGGAGGAAGCGGAGAAGGCAAGAGGTGAGGCTGAGCAGAAGAGAGAGGAGGCTGAGGCAGCGAAATGCGAGGCGGAGAAAGAGAGGGAGGAAGCGGAGAAGGCAAGGAGTGAGGCTGAGCAGAAGAGAGAGGAGGCTGAGGCAGCGAAATGCGAGGCGGAGAAAGAGAGGGAGGAAGCGGAGAAGGCAAGGAGTGAGGCTGAGCAGAAGAGAGAGGAGTCTGAGGCAGCAAAATGCGAAGCGGAGAAAGAGAGGGAGGAAGCGGAGAAGGCAAGGAGTGAGGCTGAGCAGAAGAGAGAGGAGGCTGAGGCAGCGAAATGCGAGTTGGAGAAAGAGAGGGAGGAAGCGGAGAAGGCAAGGAGTGAGGCTGAGCAGAAGAGAGAGGAGGCTGAGGCAGCGAAATGCGAGGCGGAGAAAGAGAGGGAGGAAGCGGAGAAGGCAAGGAGTGAGGCTGAGCAGAAGAGAGAGGAGGCTGAGGCAGCGAAATGCGAGGCGGAGAAAGAGAGGGAGGAAGCGGAGAAGGCAAGGAGTGAGGCTGAGCAGAAGAGAGAGGAGGCTGAGGCAGCGAAATGCGAGGCGGAGAAAGAGAGGGAGGAAGCGGAGAAGGCAAGGAGTGAGGCTGAGCAGAAGAGAGAGGAGGCTGAGGCAGCGAAATGCGAAGCGGAGAAAGAGAGGGAGGAAGCGGAGAAGGCAAGGAGTGAGGCTGAGCAGAAGAGAGAGGAGGCTGAGGCAGCGAAATGCGAGGCGGAGAAAGAGAGGGAGGAAGCGGAGAAGGCAAGGAGTGAGGCTGAGCAGAAGAGAGAGGAGGCTGAGGCAGCGAAATGCGAGGCGGAGAAAGAGAGGGAGGAAGCGGAGAAGGCAAGGAGTGAGGCTGAGCAGAAGAGAGAGGAGGCTGAGGCAGCGAAATGCGAGGCGGAGAAAGAGAGGGAGGAAGCGGAGAAGGCAAGGAGTGAGGCTGAGCAGAAGAGAGAGGAGGCTGAGGCAGCGAAATGCGAGGCGGAGAAAGAGAGGAGAAGGAGAAGGCAAGGAGTGAGGCTGAGCAGAAGAGAGAGGAGGCTGAGGCAGCGAAATGCGAGGCGGAGAAAGAGAGGGAGGAAGCGGAGAAGGCAAGGAGTGAGGCTGAACAGAATGAGGGAGGAGGCTGAGGCAGCGAAATGCGAGGCGGAGAAAGAGAGGGAGGAAGCGGAGAAGGCAAGGAGTGAGGCTGAGCAGAAGAGAGAGGAGGCTGAGGCAGCGAAATGCGAGGCGGAGAAAGAGAGGGAGGAAGCGGAGAAGGCAAGGAGTGAGGCTGAGCAGAAGAGAGAGGAGGCTGAGGCAGCGAAATGCGAGGCGGAGAAAGAGAGGGAGGAAGCGGAGAAGGCAAGGAGTGAGGCTGAGCAGAAGAGAGAGGAGGCTGAGGCAGCGAAATGCGAGGCGGAGAAAGAGAGGGAGGAAGCGGAGAAGGCAAGGAGTGAGGCTGAGCAGAAGAGAGAGGAGGCTGAGGCAGCGAAATGCGAGGCGGAGAAAGAGAGGGAGGAAGCGGAGAAGGCAAGGAGTGAGGCTGAGCAGAAGAGAGAGGAGGCTGAGGCAGCGAAATGCGAGGCGGAGAAAGAGAGGGAGGAAGCGGAGAAGGCAAGGAGTGAGGCTGAGCAGAAGAGAGAGGAGGCTGAGGCAGCGAAATGCGAGGCGGAGAAAGAGAGGGAGGAAGCGGAGAAGGCAAGGAGTGAGGCTGAGCAGAAGAGAGAGGAGGCTGAGGCAGCGAAATGCGAGGCGGAGAAAGAGAGGGAGGAAGCGGAGAAGGCAAGGAGTGAGGCTGAGCAGAAGAGAGAGGAGGCTGAGGCAGCGAAATGCGAGGCGGAGAAAGAGAGGGAGGAAGCGGAGAAGGCAAGGAGTGAGGCTGAGCAGAAGAGAGAGGAGGCTGAGGCAGCGAAATGCGAGGCGGAGAAAGAGAGGGAGGAAGCGGAGAAGGCAAGGAGTGAGGCTGAGCAGAAGAGAGAGGAGGCTGAGGCAGCGAAATGCGAGGCGGAGAAAGAGAGGGAGGAAGCGGAGAAGGCAAGGAGTGAGGCTGAGCAGAAGAGAGAGGAGGCTGAGGCAGCGAAATGCGAGGCGGAGAAAGAGAGGGAGGAAGCGGAGAAGGCAAGGAGTGAGGCTGAGCAGAAGAGAGAGGAGGCTGAGGCAGCGAAATGCGAGGCGGAGAAAGAGAGGGAGGAAGCGGAGAAGGCAAGGAGCGAGGCTGAGCAGAAGAGGGAAGAGGCTGAGGCAGCGAAATGCGAGGCGGAGAAAGAGAGGGAGGAAGCGGAGAAGGCAAGGAGTGAGGCTGAGCAGAAGAGAGAGGAGGCTGAGGCAGCGAAATGCGAGGCGGAGAAAGAGAGGGAGGAAGCGGAGAAGGCAAGGAGCGAGGCTGAGCAGAAGAGGGAAGAGGCTGAGGCAGCGAAATGCGGGGCAGAGAAAGAGAGGGAGGAAGCGGAGAAGGCAAGGAGTGAGGCTGAGCAGAAGAGAGAGGAGGCTGAGGCAGCGAAATGCGAGGCGGAGAAAGAGAGGGAGGAAGCGGAGAAGGCAAGGAGTGAGGCTGAGCAGAAGAGAGAGGAGGCTGAGGCAGCGAAATGCGAGGCGGAGAAAGAGAGGGAGGAAGCGGAGAAGGCAAGGAGTGAGGCTGAGCAGAAGAGAGAGGAGGCTGAGGCAGCGAAATGCGAGGCGGAGAAAGAGAGGGAGGAAGCGGAGAAGGCAAGGAGCGAGGCTGAGCAGAAGAGGGAAGAGGCTGAGGCAGCGAAATGCGGGGCAGAGAAAGAGAGGGAGGAAGCGGAGAAGGCAAGGAGTGAGGCTGAGCAGAAGAGAGAGGAGGCTGAGGCAGCGAAACGCGTGGCGGAGAAAGAGAGGGAGGAAGCGGAGAAGGCAAGGAGTGAGGCTGAGCAGAAGAGAGAGGAGGCTGAGGCAGCGAAATGCGAGGCGGAGAAAGAGAGGGAGGAAGCGGAGAAGGCAAGGAGTGAGGCTGAGCAGAAGAGAGAGGAGGCTGAGGCAGCGAAACGCGTGGCGGAGAAAGAGAGGGAGGAAGCGGAGAAGGCAAGGAGTGAGGCTGAGCAGAAGAGAGAGGAGGCTGAGGCAGCGAAATGCGAGGCGGAGAAAGAGAGGGAGGAAGCGGAGAAGGCAAGGAGTGAGGCTGAGCAGAAGAGAGAGGAGGCTGAGGCAGCGAAATGCGAGGCGGAGAAAGAGAGGGAGGAAGCGGAGAAGGCAAGGAGTGAGGCTGAGCAGAAGAGAGAGGAGGCTGAGGCAGCGAAATGCGAGGCGGAGAAAGAGAGGGAGGAAGCGGAGAAGGCAAGGAGTGAGGCTGAGCAGAAGAGAGAGGAGGCTGAGGCAGCGAAATGCGAGGCGGAGAAAGAGAGGGAGGAAGCGGAGAAGGCAAGGAGTGAGGCTGAGCAGAAGAGAGAGGAGGCTGAGGCAGCGAAATGCGAGGCGGAGAAAGAGAGGGAGGAAGCGGAGAAGGCAAGGAGTGAGGCTGAGCAGAAGAGAGAGGAGGCTGAGGCAGCGAAATGCGAGGCGGAGAAAGAGAGGGAGGAAGCGGAGAAGGCAAGGAGTGAGGCTGAGCAGAAGAGGGAGGAGGCAGAGGCAACGAAATGCGAGGCGGAGAAAGAGAGGGAGGAAGCGGAGAAGGCAAGGAGTGAGGCTGAGCAGAAGAGAGAGGAGGCTGAGGCAGCGAAATGCGAGGCGGAGAAAGAGAGGGAGGAAGCGGAGAAGGCAAGGAGTGAGGCTGAGCAGAAGAGAGAGGAGGCTGAGGCAGAAAAATGGGAGGCGGAGAAAGAGAGGGAGGAAGCGGAGAAGGCAAGGAGTGAGGCTGAGCAGAAGAGAGAGGAGGCTGAGGCAGCGAAATGCGAGGCGGAGAAAGAGAGGGAGGAAGCGGAGAAGGCAAGGAGTGAGGCTGAGCAGAAGAGAGAGGAGGCTGAGGCAGCGAAATGCGAGGCGGAGAAAGAGAGGGAGGAAGCGGAGAAGGCAAGGAGTGAGGCTGAGCAGAAGAGAGAGGAGGCTGAGGCAGCAGCATTGAATGCTGATAGAGAGTGGGAAGAGAACGAGAGGAAAAGGATACAGGCTGAGTCAAGTTTGACTGATGCACGGAGGAGGTTTAGTGAGGTTTCAGATGCTGTTGACAAAGCTAAGAGGGATGCTGACGAGGCAAGACGTGATGCTGATGTGGCAAAACGTGAGGCCGATGTGGCAAGGCGTGAGGGTGATGCGGCAAGACGTGACGCTGATGCGGCTAGACGTGTTGCTGATGAATGCAAGCTGGCTGCTGAGCTGGCCAAACAAGTCGCTGACTTGGCAAGGCAAGATTCTGAAGTGGCAAGGCGTGCAGCCGAGCAGGCAGAGGAGGAAAGACGAAGGGAGGAAGCCGGGAAGAATGGGGATAGAGAAGGATGGGTGAAGGAATTGGAACGGCTGAGGCTTGAATTGGAGATGGCTAGGAGGGACAGGGAGATTGCAAGGAAAGAGCTTGAAAGAGTGAGAAGGGATGGGGAGAGTGTGAGGGAGGAGCTTCAGAAGGTGGGAAGGGATGGGGAGATTGTGAAGGAGGAGCTAGAGAGAGTGAGAGGGGAGTTGGGGAGAGTGAGAAAGGAGCTGGAACGGGTGACAGAGGCTAAGAGGGAGAGTGTGCGGAATCTGAGCGAGTCATTGGTGGCTTCTGAGGAGCAGAGGAAGAAGCTGGTGGAGCTGCTTCGAATGGCCGAGAGCTTTGAGGGTCAGTGTTCGCTTCATCAAGCAGGTTCTTTCAGTTTCCATATGATCAGTTTTCCCTCTCATTTCCATAATCTGGCTCGTTTTACTGATATTATCTCATTGTACTTGCTTGCTTCAGTTACCTTCTGCTGATTAAAATATAGATATTTTTTTTTTTACTTGTATGTGCTTTCGTTGTGCAGGATTCTCTATGTCACTCTGGTAAAGGTGCCAGTGAACTGGAAGGCTGATTTCCCTAATCGAGATTCCTTACATAATTTAACACACTGAGAACCTCTAACCGTTCCACTTGTACATATCTAACTTGTGCCCTTCTGTTTATCGCTCTGCATAAGGTGATGTTTGCTTTTCTGCAGTAATTTTGAGGAAGTTTGTTCTTTTTTTGTGAGAAAAATATTTGCCTCATCTCCCTAAGGACACGGACACTCACATCATGTTGGCAATCAATTGTGCAATATCTATCTGCTACCGCACTGGAAACCTGCAACAAATTTTCTGGCCTTTCTAAAACCCGTCAGAAAGCGAACCTACACCAGGATCAATAACCGAAATCGATGAGTACCCGCCTCCCAATCCCCATTCTACATGACGATGTTATCGCAACAGCTTGTGAAGGACTGGCGGTTGCGTTTCGGCCTCTCTCGGCTTCGTCGAACGCGGATGCTTTCGTGATGGGTGGAAGCGCGGGTGATCACTGTCGTGCGTTTCGTGTCATCTCATTCCACGTTTTCATGCTGGCTCTGTTCTTCCGCCTCTTGTCGGCGTTGCAACGAGATGGAGCCGCAGGTGTGATAGATGAAACGCAACCCTGCATGTTGGAGATTCTTTTGTGCTGCAACGGCTAGTTGCGTTCAGTTTCGGTTTTCCATAGCACAGAGCGTACACTTCCGGAGAACAGCAGCTACAGCAACACCACCAGCCAGCACCAAAGCTGCCTCGCTCGAGAGAATTTCTCCAGACCCGTGTTTGGTGATTTGCCGTTGCACACGTGGCCTCGAATTGCTACCGTGGTCAGACAATTTGATGATAATTGCTCGAGTGGTCTTGCCAGAGGTTTCCTATGGCCTTTTTTTTATACGGCACATAGCCCAGCAAGGGTTTCTAGCCTTGAAATTCTTACATCGAAAGTGTCTTTTCCTGCGAAAAAGTGGCGTACAATTTTCCGCCCGAAAATTTCGGCTGGGTGACGTGCGCGAGGACGGCCACGTCACGATCATTTTGGCGAACAGTCGCGCTCATTTTCGGTCCTAATCGTGACCAATCCGCGCATAGTGATATGATTCCCCGATCATATACTCAGTTGCACGGCTGTCCATACAGGGAACAATATACAAAGTGCGCCTGATTCGTCAACTTTATGCGCGAAGCACTTTTTGACCTTGCGCGTCCAATCAGACGCGGTCATGTAAGATCGCGCTCATATAAAACCGCGCTAAGGAAGATTGAGTAGTACTCTAAACTGACGAATCCTGAACTAAATACACACGCCCAAACATATAATTGGGCCAATTAGGCTCAAATTGATACGCTTAGTCACGGTTGCTACGTCAGTATCAAGTTACCGCGCTTTTTTAAATTGAAGTACCACATCTCAGACACCATATCTTCTCGTCATTTTAGGGTTGACATCCAACTTTGCCCTCACTTAGACCACGTATGTCCTCTATATCTTCTAGGAGGCTACGGAGTTAGGACGTTCCTACTAGCCGCCATGGACTCGTCATTTAATACTTCTAACACAGAATACGACTCAGGCGACGAAGATGCGGAGTTTTGTTTTGTTGGCACTAGGGAGCCCAAACAAAGTGATATGTACCGTGCGTTGCTCCGAAATATGACAGAAGACGATAACCTCTCGCCACCATTAGTGATAAACGATCGAGCCCCGTTGTGTGAAGGTCAGCTCTACTCCTCGAAGAAATTTCTGTACGAAGCGCTGGAAGATTATTCGGTGGCCCATAACTTCGGTTTTCGGGTTTCAAAGAGTAGGCATAACAGAGCCCGAGCCATATGCATGAGTCACCATGAGCGTCGTAAACCAGCTTGCAAGTGGCGGTGTGAGTATTCAACTGACGGTGCGGGTGGGTTTTGGCGTGTTGATAAACTGTCTCCCCCAACATCTCATTGTTGCTCATCGGTTGATCGGGACCGCTACGTGAAGCACACTATGAATAAAGTAGCTTATCTGCAGCGTCATCATGGGAACATTGTTCATGCCGCTCCACACCACCCTCCCGGGACCTACAAGGATCAGATTGCGTCGACCGGTGGTCCTGACATCAATTATCATCAATCTTGGAGGTGAGTATTATAACATTCTTTCGTGGTTCCCAAAGATTCCGTCTTATCCAAGTATGGTATGGAAATGTACATGACTATTCAAACAATGTCCCTCATGTTCGTGCTACATGCTTATACTGTCTTGCAAGTTGTCACCAATTGTCGCAGGCTCAAGGAAAAGATGTTGAAGGAGCGGTTTGGAGACTGGAAAACTTCTTTTCGTTACATCCCTCGCGTGTTGGAACGCTTCAGGGCGATTGATCGTGACGCAACGCTTGACCTTGTGACGAAGGATCACGCTTTCTTCCGTGCTTTTGCCGCCCCTTCAGCATAAAAAACCGCCCTTAGGTTCTGCCGACCGGTCATTGGTATGGATGGCACGTTTCTCATTCGGGCACAGCGAGCTACGCTATTGGTTGCAGCTGCTAAGGATGGCAACAACCAGCTTGTTCCACTCGCGTACGGCCTATGCGAGAGTGAGAACAAAGACAGTTGGAAGTGGTTCTGTGAGAACCTGTTGAAACATTTTCCATCTTGGCCAACCACCCAGAATGCCTCTCTCATTAGTGACCGTGACAAGGGGTTGATTCCTGCTGTTAAAGAAGTGTTCCCTTCCGAGCTTCCCCACTACTTTTGCAGCTGGCATTTGGAGCAAAATGTTCTAAAGTTCGGCCCCAACGCCTCGGACCTCTTCAAGAAACTCGCCAACTGCCGCACCAAGGCGAAGTTTAGGAAACTCGTGAGGAGATGACGGGAGCAGTGCGCTGCAATGGCTAATTATCCTTTTGGGGTTGAAGAAAGCCGTGCGCAGCAGTCAGGTGGCCGACGCGGAACCAACCAGCGAGCTAGCGTGCCAGAGTCCGGAGATGAGTTAAGGGGCATACATAGTGCCGCTAAAATGGCAAGAAGGGCAAGGATGGAGGTGCGGCGGCAAAGACGACGACAAACCAGGGGAAAGCAGCAGAAAACGACGCGTGATCTGCCCCAAACAGACCGTGATGACAGCCCCAATACGGCGGCAAATTATACCACTAACCGCACCCTTCCCTCCATGCCTTCATCGCCGGCTGCCGACATGCTGGAGTCATCTGCTCAAGATACCGCACCACCATCTGTGCTCCCTTCTTTCGCAGCCAATAACAAGGGAGATCAGCCGGCAACTTTGGACGATAATCAACCGGAAACAGATGCCACACCAGAAGTGTTCAATGACCAGTTCGAGGTAGAAGATGGGAGTCAAATCAGCTGCGAGGAGGGTTCCGGGGATGAGGCGTGTACGGATAATGGCCAGTGCTCACATTCCAACGCTACAGGGATAAATCCAACGCTATCCAACGAAGCTGCGCAACAAGCGGCCAAGATGCGCCAACGCCGGAAGGAGATTCTTAAGGGGAAACGGGATGCAAGGGTTGGAGGTTCCAGGGGCTTCAACACAAGGGCAACAACCGACCCACAGTTGCCAACGCAAGCGAGCCAAGCACAACGTCATCCACCACTTCAGCAACGTGCTACCCCTCCCATGGACCGGCAACATGAAGCAGCACGGTGTGCGGACGTCACTGGCGATCCAGAGACGGGGTTGGGTGGGATGGGCAGTGCGGATGCTCAGCCAAGGGTCGGGGACCAGATGGAGGAAGGTACGGGTATCATTGTTCGCATGGGACAGGATGGACCGAGGTACAAGAGGAAGAAGAAGATTACTGTCTTCATCAGGCAATGGGCACGCTGTTATGAGGAGTGACAATGAGGAGGTGGGGGGGAATGATGAAGGTGCCGGAGGCAACCCTGGTACTACCCTTGGTAACAGAGGTGCAGGAGAGGTCATGGGTGCTGGGCATGGTGTGACAGCCTCGAACGCAGATGTGGATTTGGTGTCCGCCCAGAGCACAGGGGCTGAGACAACGAGTCGCAACACTGCGCGTGGTCGAGCTCCTAGCTCTGGTTATACCGGCATAAGCAAACGGGAAGGTAGGTGGGCGGCACGGCTGTGCGTAGATAGCGTTAAGAGTAAGTTTTTAGCGCTGGGACGGTATACGGAGATCTTGGATGCCGCAAAAGCATATGCGGCAGCCGCCCACATTTGCCGACCGTCCCTCTCCAACTCAATGATGGTGGAGTTGAGCGTGGAGGAGAGGCGGTGCTTGGAGGGACTGACGGCGCATGGGGTTGAGAGGTTAGTGGAGGCCAAGCGATGGGCAGAGTGGAGGAACTGGCGAGAAGTGCTCGGCAGCCTCCCTGAGCCTTCCATCCCAACGCCAGCAGGAGTTCACACACAGGCTCCACCTCCCTTTTCCCACCACCACTCTGGAGCCACGCTTGGCAACTACCACCCGCCAGCCGCCGCCTTCGCGGGACACGCCGTTGCAACCCCAAACCCCGGTGCATGGCAGCCGTACACCCAGAGCCACCCTCCTCCCAACCTCCATTTTCTATCCCAGCAGTTTGCTTTCAACCAAATCCCAATCCATCAATTCAGCCAGGTGAAAGCCCCTATCGCTGTACACCCTACCCCTTCAGTACCCATCACTCCCAACCCTGCAGGCCATGCCGCTTCACATAACACGGCACCCCATCCCCATGTCCTACCAACACCACCATCCGTTGCACCCAGCATGGCACATCCAGTATCCGACCCACAAGCCCAACAAGTCCGGCCCGCTGAGCAAACTGGTCAGGCCAGGGTAGATGGCATGACATATTCACAGTCGACTTCTCCCAATAACCCCAACCCCACGTCCCACGGCTCCGTATTGGCAAGCGAGCCAGCAACAGGTGAGATCTGTTGTTGTGTAATAGTGCTTGTTCATATGCCGTAGTTTCAATAAACCATGCACTAATCTAATGAACTTGGATCTTCACCTGTGCAGGGGCAGCGGACGACATCATTGATGCCTTTCTTGGTCAAGCTGCACAATAACTGATGAGACGTATGGTCAGCATGACATTGCAATAAAACACATCACACACACATGCGAGCATCACATATGCGCGCTCATATAGGTAAATGTGTGGTTTTATATGAGCGCGATTTTACATGACCGCGTCTGATTGGACGCGCAAGGTCAAAAAGTGCTTCGCGCATAAAGTTGACGAATCAGGCGCACTTTGTATATTGTTCCCTGTATGGACAGCCGTGCAACTGAGTATATGATCGGGGAATCATATCACTATGCGCGGATTGGTCACGATTAGGACCGAAAATGAGCGCGACTATTCGCCAAAATGATCGTGACGTGGCCGCCCTCGCGCACGTCACCCAGCCGAAATTTTCGGGCGGAAAATTGTACGCCACTTTTTCGCGGGAAAAGACACTTTCGATGTAAGAATTTCAAGGCTAGAAACCCTTGCTGGGTTATGTGCCGTATAAAAAAAAGGCCATAGGAAACCTCTGGCAAGACCACTCGAGCAATTATCATCAAATTGTCTGACCACGGTAGCAATTCGAGGCCACGTTTGCAACGGCAAATCACCAAACACGGGTCTGGAGAAATTCTCTCGCCTCGCTCCCTTCAATGCTTCATTACATTCCTCCAGGAATTACGCAAACGGTTGAGTACGATGTTGCGCAATCTGGAGCGGTTATTCTCGTTTCACCCCTTCGAACATGCACACAGGAGCTTCGCTCGTCACATGCCTTACTAAGTGGCCTCCAGCATTGGCAGTTCTTGTACTGTAAGGCGTTCGTTGTGATTAGAGCTAATTCACGGGGGAGGTGATCTAGCTGAGAGTTAATTTAGCGAATCAGGGGTCTTCATCCCTGCAAGTTTAGTGGTTCTTGCACTGACTTAAAATACAAGTCCCTAGAATTTGTGGTGATTGTGGTGACAGCCTAGCACCTTATTAATCACTTCGGCTTACTGGATCAGCTTTCTCTCCTCAAATCTTGAACAGCAAGGCAGTAATAAGAAAATTAGCATCTTAGTGATTTTGAAATCAGGATCGCATCATGGCTAGTCGGAGTCATCATTCTGACACTAGCGCGTCGCATCTTGTGGATAAGGCGTGCAGCGAGTACCTGGCGGAGCCTGATTGGACCACTAATCTCCAGCTCTGCGACCTTCTCAATGTATCGCCAGGGTGAGCCGACCTGTGAATCGTCGCAGCGACTCTCGTTTTAGCGTTGCTTCGCGTGAATGACTCAAGTTTTCTAAGCTAGGTGAAGCGTTTGATTCAGGTACCGGCGACACGCCAGATTGCGTGCCGAACAGCTACGTGGCTTTAATATCTCCAACGTTTTAGCAGGCCAATTACTAGTTTTTGTAGGACAGGCTTTGCCTTTGCATGCTGATCTCTGGTTTTACAATCCATCTTGAAAGTCTCACAATTGCAAAACATTTCATCATCATAGCATCATGCTTCCGTCGTTTGTGCTCCCTTCCTGCTCCTTCAACTTCCTTTCCATTACCTGGTTAAACAAGCAGACGCCATCCGAGCTATGCACAAGAAGGCCACGCTTCCATTTTGGTTCGCGGAAGAATATGTTAACCTTTTTCTTTTCTCCACCCGCACCCTCCAGCAAGGTGGGAGATGCCATGCGGGCCGTTCACAAGAAGGTCACATCACGCCATCCACAAGTGCAGCTCTCCGCTCTCACTGTACGTTACAACTTTGTGCCTACGCTGTCCTCTGTACGTTACAACTCGTGCGTTAGACCCACACTGTTGTACGTTTAAACTTGTGTGTGTTGTCCATGCACAAGTCCAGCTCCCTGCTCTCACCATACGTTATTATATATTGTTTACGCCACAATATTCCTGTTATTATACAGCCTGTCCAGTGTGCAATCACCATGACACGTGGCACAGTGCGCTGCGCACTGTGATTCACAACCGTGCGGTTCTGCTGCCTTTCCCAAACCACCTGAATCCGTTTTTTACCTCTTCCCCTCCCCCCACGCCTTTACAGCTGCCGGAAACCGTAATGAAGAACTGTGGGGGGCCGGTGCATGCACTGAAGATTGTAATCTTAATGTCATTTCTTGACGACTGAAACCTCTTTCTACGTCTCCCAAACACCTCCCCACCCCTTTAAAGCTGCTGGAAACCGTGATGAAGAACTGTGGGGGGGCGGTGCACGCTCAGGTGGTGGAAAAAGGCGTGCTTGCTGACGTGGCCAAGATCGCCAAGAAAGGAGGGGTGCGTGCTTGTTTGTTTGTTTGTTTGTTTGTTCTCACAGTGTACCTTTTTTTTTTTTTTAGGGAGGGTCAAAGCCCTATGTTGGTCTCTCATTTATTTGCCACCATCACCTCCTGTGCCATGTGTTTCATGTCTCGTCACCACCATGCTGAATGAACTTGTACCATCCTCCCTCCCTGTACCACAATATCCCACAGGCGAGCCCTGCAGCAACAGCAAGGGCACGAGGGCTTATTCAGGAGTGGGCGGACGTGTTCCCCCCAGGCCCCACCTGCCGCCACACAGAATACTTTCTCACCTTCGACGAGCTGAAGGTGTGCATCTATTCTTTTGGAGTATATTGGGTAGGTGCTCAGTCTGTCTCCGTCTCTTTCCACATACCTGCTCCTGAGGACGGGAGTGGGCGAACGTGTTCCCCCCTGGCCCAACCTGCCACCACACGGAGTAATTTCTCACGTTCGTTTAGCTCAAGGTGCGATTCTGATGTTTCTTTCCTGCTCTCCATATGTACAAACAGTACCCTTGAGTTGTCTTCCCGTGTTCCCCTGTTCTCTCCTGTCTTCCCTGCAGAGGAGTGGCGTCCCCTTCCCCCCCAATCGCCACACCGCAAGCTCCCACCACTCCCCCTCCATCCCCATGCCGGCTCCACCTGTTCCCCTGTTCCCCCGCCCCCTGCCCCCCTATTCCCCTGTTCCCCTGCTCCCCTGCTCCCCCGCCCCCTGCCCCCCTATTCCCCTGCCCACCCTGCAGAGGAGTGGCGTCCCCTTCCCCCCCCAACGTCACACCGCAAGCTCCCACCACTCCCCCTCCATCCCCATGCCGGCTCCCGAGCGTGCAGCAGCCAGTCACGGCGTGCCACCTGGCGGCCCCCCCCTGCACCTCCATCCGCATGCGAACCACTCCACCCCTCCCCAGCTCTACAACTCGCCCACTTACGGCAGCCCCGTTGGGGGGTACAGTCCCGGTAACCCTGCTGCTTCTTATAATGGAGCTGCTTATAACGGAGCTGGTTATCATGGTGCGCGGTCTCCCCTTGCTGGTCCCAGGGCGTTGCCGCCGCAGCCACAGCCCCCTCCGTTGCATTACCAGCAGCAGCAGCAGCAGCAGCCACAGGCTCAGCAGCAGCAGAGGGGGAGTGGGACACAGGACGGGGCGAGTGACAAGCCTATGAGGTGAGAAAAATGGGGAGTGGGAATCAAGAAGGGAAGATGGGGAGAGCGGGTGGTGAGGGAGGAAGGTAGGGAGGGAAGGAGGGAGGGAAGGAGGGAGGGAAGGAGGGAGGGAAGGAGGGAGGGAGGGAAGGGGTTGGGAGTTCCGTGAAGGGGCTAACGGACCTGCTCTCACACCCACAGACACCCAACCACAGCCCTGCCTCTGTAGCCCCTTCTCTTACCCACGCCCTCACGCCCTCACCCTCATTCCCATCCCCCATCTCCGGCCTAGCGGACATCACAACAGGGTTGAACTCGGTGGAGGTGTTATCCGACCTGCTCTCAGCGCGTCCAAGGACAACCCTGGCCCTGTGCCCCTTGCTTACCAATACCCTCATCCCTCCCACCATGTGTGCCGCTTTCTCCAGTCTAGCGGACATCACAATCGCGTGTAGTTAGTCGATTTTTGAGTCGACTCAAAAATCGTCCCTCCCACCATGTGTGCTTCTTTCTCCAGTCTAGCGGACATCACAAGCGGACTAAACTCGGTGGCGGTGCTATCCGACCTGCTCTCAGGATTTGCAGCTATTCCGATATGAGTTTGGATTCGGACAACCCTTTCTTTGCCCCCTCGGTCGACTTTTGAGTCGACTCAAAAGTCACCTTGCTATCCGACCTGCTCGCAGGATTTGCTGCTAGTCCGATATGAGTTTGGATTTTGACAACCCTTTCTTTGCCCCCTAGGTCACCCGCGCCCTCATCCTCATTCCCGCACCTGTCCCCTCCAGTCTAGCGGACATCACAACCGGTCTTAACTCGGTGGCGGTGCGGTGCTATCCGACCTGCTCTCAGCCGCGCCCAAGGACGACCCTTTCTTTGCCCCCTCGCTTACCCTCACCTCGCCTCATCCTCATCTCTCCACCTACTCCATCCAGTCTAGCAGACATCACCACGGGGCTCAACTCAGTGGAGGTGCTATCTGACCTGCTCTCAGCCGCGCCCAAGGACAACCCTGCCGCTGTGTGCCCTTTGCTTACCAATACCCTCATCCCTCCCACCATGTGTGCTGCTCCCCCCAGTCTGACAGACATCACAACAGGGTTGAACTCGGTGGAGGTGTTATCTGACCTGCTGTCAGCCGCGCCCAAGGACAACCCTGGCTCTGTGTTGGGGGACGAGTTGGTGCAGCAGTTGGTGGGGGAGTGCCGGGGGCTAGAGGGGCGTCTAGCAGCCACAATCAACTCGACAAGGTGAGTGAGTGAGTGACTTTCACCAGTGAGATCGAAAGGCGAACGAAGTGGTATTTGAGTGAAGGACAGGACAACCCTGCCTCGGTGTTAGGGGACGAGTTGGTGCAGCAGCTGGTGGGGGTGGGGGAGTGCCGGGGGTTACAGGGGCGCCTGGCAGCCACGATCAATTCTACCAGGTAAGAGAGGACAGGAGGTGTGATTTCTGAAGTATTTTCGGCTCTGTGTTGGTGCAGCAGCTGGTGGGGGAGTGCCGGGGTTAGAGGGACGACTGGCAGCCACGATCAATTGGACAAGGTGAGTCGGTCACTCGCACCAGTGATGTGTGAAGGCGAGCTCTAGCTGTGTGCCTGGTCCTCCGATGTTGAGTTGAAGGAAGGACAACCCTGGCTCTGTGTTGGGGGACGAGTCGGTGCAGCAGCTTGTGGGGGAGTGCCGGGGATTGGAGGGACGACTGGCAGCCACAATTAATTCTACCAGGTGAGAGTTTAGTAAACGACTCTCGTCCAAGGAGCTCAGCTGCAGCTGTGTGCTGTGCACCCATCCAAGTTATGAGTCGACTCAAAACCATCCCATAGCCATCCGCCTTTCCAAACCATGCCACTTCCTATGCCCTTCCCCTCTCCTGTGCATGCCCATGCCTCTCAAAAGTGATTTCAACACTCTCCCCAGTGACGAGCATCTGCTGCGCTCCGCCTTGGCACTCTGCGACGTGACAGAAGTAGTGTTTTGAGACGTCTCAAATCACTACCTCTATCACGTGGCACTCAGCGACGGGGTGCAGGCAGTCAGGAGGCAGTGCCATGCATCTTTTCCCCTCTCCTGGGAAGAGGAGGCACTACCCATTGCCCTGAGGTCGTTTTTGAGGCGCCTCAAAAACGACCTCATTGCCCTGCACCTTCACCCGCGCATGCCCGCACCCATCCCATCCCAATCTTCTCTATGTGCCCATTCCCCCCCTTCCCCCAGTGACGAGCACCTTTTGCGCACTGCCCTCGCTCTCAACGATGAGGTGCAGGCAGTCATGAAGCGCCACACCCAGCTACAGAAAACCTCCGCTCCTGCTGCTTCTATTGCTGGTGGTGGTGCTTCTGCTTCTGGCTCGGGTGCAGCAGCTGGGGCAGCAGCAGCAGGGGGAGTGCAGTGGGCGCAGTACGATGGGGAGGGCGACACTGACAGCGAGCCCAGCATTCAGCTCGACAGGCGCGGGTGAGTGCTGCACTGGGGCTCGGGGGAGGTGAGCAGGATGGAAGGGTGGCTAAAAGGGAAGGCTGAGGTGTACGATTGGGGCAGTGTGTTAGTGTTAGCCCTCAATCTCACACTTTGTACTTTTACACTCTGTGTTTGGTTGGGTGTACACCTACATCCCAACCAAACCCAAATGTAATCTCCAAGCAATCTCCAACCCACCAATTGGAGTTGTCTTGGAATTACCCCCAATCCCTAGGGATTGCCCCCGATTTCCTTCCCCATCCATTGCTTGCCCATCTTGGATGTACTTAAAGAGCTTCTAGCTCATTAGTAATGTATCGGTTCTAAGCTTAAGTTGTGACACAGTGGTCGGTCGCAGTACTGCTCTCTTTCCCGGCCGGCCCCCCTTGTCCCTCCTGCACACCCTCAGTACCTTCTCCATCCGTCCCCGTTTCCCCCACTCCGTCATACTCGTTTCTCCTCCCCCATCTCTTCCACAACATTTGAGACGTCTCAAAATTTTTTAGGCGTCTTTTGAGACGACTTTTGAGACGTCTCGAAATTTTTGAGACGTCTTTTGAGACGACTTTTGAGACGTCTCGAAATTTTTGAGACGTCTTTTGAGACGACTTTTGAGACGTCTCGAAATTTTTGAGACGTCTTTTGAGACGACTTTTGAGACGTCTCAAAGCTCCGTCATACTCGTTTCTCCTCCCCCACCTCTTCCACAACATCAACCCCCTCCTCCCCCATTCCCCCGTCCCTCCTTCCCCCTCTCCACCCCCCAACTCACAGTGCGCCATCTTCCTTCTCCCCCCCCCCCCTCCTCATCCGCAATACCCCCTTTCTTTCCTCCCCCTGCTTTTCCGCCCCTCTTCCCGTCCCTCCTTCCCCCCCTGCCCCCACACCTACAGTGCGCCATCGTCCTTCTCCATCCGCCCCTCAGCTTCCCCCACCTTCTCCCCCAGCGCGCCCCCCGCCTCCCCCCTGCTCCCCCTTCCCCCTGACTGGAAGCGCTCCTCCATTCCTCATGCCCCCGCTGCCCCTGCTTCTTTTGGTTCCACTGCTGCTGCTGCTTCTGGTGCTGCCGCTGGTGCTTCTGGTGCTGACACCGGGGCAGCAGGAGAATCTGCAGCACCAGGAGCAGCAACAGCAGGAGAAGGAGGAGGGAGCAACAGCAGGAGCAGCAGCAGCAGCAGCAGCAGGAACAGTAGCAGCAGCAGCAGAGGCAGGAGCAGCACCCCCCTATTCGCACCCACCATACGGCTCAGCACCTGATCTACCAGCCATGACCGCCCACATGTCCCACTTGGCCCTTACCCAACCCTCACCCAACGCCCACCCCCACCCGCATTCCGAACCTGTGTCCCGGGACGTGTCTCCCTTCCCTGCCCAAGCCTGGGAAGCAGGTTTGGGTATCGCTGCTACTGCTTCGGCTGCTGCTGCTCCTGTTTATCGCTCTGCCACGGATTTGCTTCTTGCTGAGTTGTCGCCATCCAATCCGTTTGCGCCAGGTGTGCAAGCAGCCACAGCGGGAGGAGAAGGACAAGGGGGAGGAGGATCCGTTTCTGCAGGAGCAGAGTCAGCACCACCACCAACAGCGGCTCGTGCTTTAGACTTTGGCTCTAGTCCTGCGGCTGGTGCTGCCGCTGTTGCTGCTGCTAGTGCTGCGAACGCTGCTTCAGATACTGCTGCTCCCACTGCACCTTCAGGCACCGCACCAAACCCCTTTGGACCGGTCCCTCCCTCTTTCACCACCGAATCCTCCCCATTCGACTCTGAGCCTTCCTTTCAAGCCCTTCCTAACCCAGACCACTCCTCTACCGCCCCCTCCCCTTCCCCATCCGCTTACGGCCCCCAATCCACACTCCTCCCTTCTCCCCAGACCTACCCATCTCCTTACACTCACACCACGTTACAGTCACAACCCCCTTCCACCTCCTCCACTCCTGCTGCTGCGCTAGGCTCTGGGTTTGGCGCTGCTCCCGGGTCTGCCCCGCCCCGCCTCCCCAATTCCGTTCCCTCTGACTCACCCACTGACCCGTTTGGTGGTTCCGGCTCTGGTGCTGCTGGTTTAGGTGCTGGTGGGGGAGGTTTGACTGGTGTAGGCGCGTCTGGGTTCCCAGCTTCTGCTTCTCATCCTCCCACTACTGCTCCTAGTTACCAGTCATCCCATCCTGGTCATCAGATGTACCCACCCCAGTATGACCCGAACCAGCAATCTTGGCAGCAGCAACTCTCACAGCAGCAGCAGCAGCAGCAGCACCACCACCAGCAGCAATATCCGCCTCCTGCTTATCCCCAGATGCCCGGCCAGCAACACCAACAGGGTTACCAGCATTTCCAGCAACAACCACACTGGCAGCAGCAGCAGCAGAATCAGATGTACCAACAAAATCAGCAGTACCAGCAGCAGCAACAGCAGCAGCAGTATATGATGGGGGGAATGGGTGGGGTGAGTGGTGACACACCCCCTCCTCCTTTCCCCAACGCCACTCCATCGTACCCTCCCCTTGGTCCCAATCAAAATTTCTCCCCTCTGGCCCTCCCATCCCCTGCTGTTTCCAACCGGCCGGGGCCTTATGTTGGGCCAGTGGGGGCGGGTACGGGAATGGGCATGGGAGCAGGTATGGGGATGGGCATGGGAACTTCATACCCGTCTCTCTCCCCTACCAAGCCTCCTTCTAGTTTGGTGCCTAGCCTAGGCGGTAGCAGTGGGGGCATGCAGCATGGCTTTCAGCAGCAGCAGCAGCCACAGCCACAGCAACCGCAGCAGGCGTTGGGCCCGGCAGGATTGACGAGGCAGCAGTTGGCTCGGAATGAAGACCCCATGCTCACAACATCCATGTTTGCAGATCTGAAAGACATCAACGCATCTCTAGCTCGTGATATCAGCTCTGGGAAAGGGGGAGCAGTCAAGGGTGCGGGTGCTGCAGCAAGGTAACTACTATCCTTGGCGGTGGTACGGAGCGAGGACCCCGTGCTCACAACATCCATGTTTGCAGATCTGAAAGATATCAACGCATCACTGGCACGCGATATTAGCTTGCAAAACCGGGAGCGGTAAGGGGTGCAGGTGCAGGTGCTGCAGCAAGGTGGCTATCCTTGGCGGTGGCTCGGAATGAGGATTTCATGCTTACAGCATCCATGTTTGCAGATCTGAAAGATATCAACGCATCTCTAGCTCGCGATATCAGCTCAGCAAAAACGGGAGCGGCGGTGAGGCGTTAAGCCCAGCAGGGTTGACAAGGCAGCAGCTGAAAGATATCAACGCGTCTCTAGCTCGCGATATCAGCTCTGGGAAAGCGGGGGCGGTGGTGACGGGTGCAGGTGCAGGTGCAGCAAGGTAGCTATCCTTGGCGGTGGCTCGGAACGAGATCCCCATGCTTACCGCATCCATGTTTGCAGATCTGAAAGATATCAACACGTCTCTAGCTCGTAATATCAGCTCCGGGAAAGCTGGAGCGGTGGTGAGGGGTGCAGGTGCAGGTGCAGGTCCAGCTAGGTGGTGTCTGTCCTCGGCGGTGGCTCTGAACAAGGACCCCATGCTTACCACATCCATGTCTGCAAAAGGGGGAGCTGGTGCAGGTTTTTTCTGTCGAGCGTCCTGTGTGCCTCCCGTAATTGCCTGGGTTGTTACTAGGGTGGGTTGGAGTGCCATGCAAGCAGTTTTGTGTCCGTTTGCATCACGCGCCGCTGTGGTTCGTAGGGTAGAGATTCTGGTTAGGTCAGTGTGGTTACAGATAAGTTCTGTCATCATACTGTTATGTTAAAACTGTGCTGATTGGCTCTGTTGGATTAAATAAACGGTCTTCTGAGTAGTACGATCGTAGATACGGTACTAAAGTACCCTAGTACCGTATCATAGTAATGCCGAAGGTGAGTGTTACACTATCAGGTGCCCTTTCGCTAGTGTTAAGATCCTAAGGCTTTGTTTTCAGCCCAACACAACAGGCTCTATTTGCCGCTTGTGGCGCGTATTTGCTGCGTCAAGTCCAATGCCTTGCTTGGATGTTAG